TATATCTTCACTGATAAATTTCTGTTTATTAAAATTATACCGCCTTTTGCCATTTATTTTGTTTATTTTTATAATATTTTTAATTTTATGAGAATTTCTAATATGCATACAATGCATTTTCATTGTATCCATACTCTAACCCATTCCCTATGTCCTCTTAGATCTATCATCCCACCTCCAAAATTATAATACTTATTTTTCATAAGTCCACCCAAGAATGGGTGGGGGCCATCCACTAGAATATTGTCGATTTACCAGAGACCACACTCTTAAAGGAAAGTGACCCTCCCCAACACTGTCAATTGTCAACAGAATGGAAACTCCTGAGCACCTGTGAATTCAGCATTTTTCAATCGAAAAGGGAGCCAATACATAATTAAATTACACCTAATTTTGGAAACTTCACCTTAAAGTTCAAAGCATAACTATATGAAACTTCCCAACTCAGTGCTGAGTATTTAACCCCTAAAGGATATGTCACAATTCTAGCATCCTTAGTCATTTAATCTTACTCAGATTGAAATACATGAAATGGCTGAATCTACACAAATTACTTCTTCTTTGAGGTCAGTCTGTGAGAGAAATCAAACAACTTGACCCATATGACAAGGAAACTAATTAAAACCGAGGTTAATGGAAAAAAAAAAAAACACTGAGATTACCAAGATCACCAAAAACTGTTGAAGAGAAGGTCTACTATACATTATAAGACACTCAAAACCTCACTCCAACAGTCACCTGAGACAAGGCCCTTTTCTAAAGAATCTCAGGCATGAAGCAGTCATAAGAGCCCATTCTTTGTGATTCTATATTGCCCAGTGGTTGTTAATTCCTATTATATTTCGGTAGTAGTGTTTGTGTTTCCGTTCTTTGAGTTTTCCTGGTGGGAGGTTATCTGTTGCCTTTGGTTTTGTGGGTACAATTAGCTTCCTTGGGTTGGGGATTTCCTTCTTGTATTTTCTGTAGAGCTGAGTTTGTGGATCGGTATTGTTTAAATCTGGTTTGTCGTGGAATATATTGTTTTCTCTGCCTATGGTGATTGAAAGCTTTGCTGGGTATAGTAGTCTGGGCTTGCATCCGTTATCTCTTAGTGTCTGCAGCAAATCTGCCCAGAAACTTTTGGCTTTCATGATTTCCATTGCGAAGTCGAGTGTAATTCTGGTAGGTCAACCTTTATGTTACTTGACGTTTTTCTTTTGCAACTCTTAATATTCTTTCTTTATTTTACATGTTTTGCATTTTAATTATTATATGATAATGGTAGGGCTTTTTTTCCAGTTTATTTGGTGTTCTGTAAGCTTCTTGTGACCTCATAGGGATATCCTTCTTTAGGTTGGGAAAGTTTTCTGCTATGATTTTGTTGAATATATTTTTGTGCTACCTTCACCTCATCCAGTGCTGGGGCCAGGGACTTAGGAAGGGGGAACTTTATGTTTCTAGTTTGGCTCCCTAGGTTTTCCAAACCATCCAAATGCACATAAAGCTTTGATTAGTATGCACATAATATCTAGCTACTTAGCAAGGAAGACAAAAATATTTAATATTCTTGGTCTTATTTATTCTGCTTTGAAACAAGTGAATTGCGTTTAAGATACAAAATTTTAAAACGAAACAATGTGTTTAAATGATTTCACTAGGTCCATTGTGATTGTGTTTTAATATTACAACAAGGCAATGACGTATAAAATGGTTTTATTTAAATTAAATTTAAATAGGCACGTTAAGACATAAACATGCTAAGTATTTTGGCCATGCCACTTGACAATTGCCTCAAAAAACTTGGTTTTAAACTTCAGTTATCTATTTTTAATGTTTTAACCCTTTACCTCCAAACCTACTTCTTTTTAGTTACACATTCAGATAAATGGAGAAATGTGAAACTAGAAATATATGTATATATGACTGAATATAAATATGGGTGCAAATATTGATATAAATGAATATAGCTATATGCCACTACCTCTATTTCAAATACGAAATAAGAATTATTATATGCTATGCCAAATTTGAAAATGTGCTCTTTCATTTCAATTTCTTTGTAAACTTTCTTCTTTCAGTATCTTGTATCACTAACAAGGTTTTTTCCTTCCTATCTTTTTTTATCAATTTTCTGCATGAGGGTAATTGTTTCTTGTATCATGATCAACAAACACTTCCTTGAAATAACTGAAAATACTCAAGGGACATATTTAAAATCAAAAGTCTTAGGTGTTAAAATATACTTGGGACTTCAATTGAGGTTGAACATTAAAGCCCTAGTGAATAGATATGCCTTATCAATTTTCTTTGCTTTTCTTTGTACTTATCTTTAATAAATCATAGATGATTCCATAGGTATGTACTCAGAGAAACTTCAAAACTATTGCAAAATAAGGGCATATTCTTAGCCTTGTATTTTCACTGTTAAAGTGAAAATAAAAGCTGAAATTGTCAAGGACAGCATACCTACAACAGAAATGTTGTATAATTACTTATGTGCAATTTTAGAATAATGGAGAATTCCTTTATATATTAGAATTATATTTTTCATGCAGTCACAAAAGTCATATCAATTATCAGTTACAAGAGAAATAATAATTGTAACAGGTCATATGTGTTTGGCATGAGATTGGCCCCTACCTTAATATGAAAGAAGCAACTTATTTCTATGTGAGATCTAATTCCCAACTATGTGTTTATATGTGCGTGTGAGTGTGTGTGTGTGTGTGTGTGTGTGTATGAGAGAGAGAGAGAGGAAGAGAGAGAGAAAGAGAGAGAGAGAGAGAGGAAGAAGAACTGACATTTCAAGTGAACAGTAAAATACAATTTTATTTGAAATATATAGTGAAATATATAGTGTCAGGGAGTCCTGGTAAAGGTGAGCATCTGAAAAGAAGGTCAGTTGAACCAGTACAATGCAACAAGACCAGTGAGCTGGGGCAACATGGAAAGAGGATAGTTGAAAAGCAGCATAAAGAGGTGAAACCTGGGAAGATAAAAATGTGTAAAGTATTATGAAGATCTCTGTGTGCTGCAATCGAAGTCCAGCAGGAGAAATAAAATGGAGTAGCTAAAAGTAGCAAATTTTCTTAACTTTTTTTTTTTTTAGGAGAAAGGCCTGATAATGAATGCCACTTGCTGTTTTACAGTAAATACTGCGCAAATTCTAGTTAAACGAAATTTGAGGTGACAGAATTTCAAGTTTCTTCATGTATGGTATCAGAAATGAAAAAAAGCTGTAGAGAATCTGTCCTGATTTTTAAATCTTCATGATTGCCTGTAGTCATTCTCAACCTGAAGAAACTTTGCCTACCACACATGTGGATATTTTGCATTATTGTTATTTTTTTACAACAGGGTAATGCAGCTTTAATTGTTTCTAGACATTAAATATGTCCCCTGTATTTCAGTGTTCTTGGTAATAATCCAACCAACTAATCCCTCAAACAAAGCTTGCGCTTAAAGTTATTTTATAAGAATGATATTTTGTTAAGATTTACTTTATAGGATCTGTCAGTATAGCAATTATGAGATGTCTAAGGTACATATAAACTAAACAATCATTACATTTAAGAAGTAACAAGAAATTTTATCTTTGTTAAACACTATAGTCTAACAAGCATTTGGTAAATATCTTAAGGAATTTAAACATATTTGGATATAACTGTGTAAACAAAGGTGGAGTATTTTATGAATTATTTTTATTGTAGAAATCAAAATTAAATTTCCTGATTGGTATGATGAATCAGATGGTGGAGACACATTTTGATTAGGTAAATAACCTGAGCTTCATTATTGGAATCCATGCACTGGAAGGAAAAAACTGACCTGCACAAATTGACTCTAACCTCTATATATACACAATGGCACATGTATTTCTTATACCCAATACACATACAGTAAATTAATAAATTACAACGTACTAAAACTTTTAAATACATTCTTTACTGCTATGTCATTCCTACTTTAAAAATATGATGATACAGATCTTGTCAATTAGCATTGTTAAACACACACACATGCATACATGCAAACATACATACACATCATTAGGAATAAGCCAAATCTTCAAAGGATATAATGCATTTAGATAAGCATAGTCAACTGACTGGTTCCTAAAAACAGAATTAATGAAATGTGAATGTTCAGAAAATGCTAACTGCTATGGAGAAAAGACACATAAAAGGAAGACATTGGTAGTCCTTATATTATCAAAGAAATGGATAAAGTCTCTGAAAAACCAAAGGAGAATTTGAAAAATTTGTGAAGAAAATTAGTATTGAATGTCATGTTTGAGATAAGTCCTTGCTGAGAAACAGTAAATAACTGGTGAAAATGGGTACAAAGTGACAACAGGTATACAAACCAGTATAAAGGCCCTGAGATATGAGTATATCTAATATATTTTAAGCACACCTACTTGCTCCTAGTTGCAACAGGATAAATAAGAAAGACACTATTAGGTACAGAATTTAGATCTATTAAGCAAGAGAATGATTGGGCCGTAAAGACCCTAATTAAAACAATGGCTTTTTAGCCAGATGGTGGTGTTGCGCGCCTATAATCCCAGCACTCAGGAGGCAGAGGCAGGTGGATCTATGTGAGTTTGAGGCCAGCCTGGTCTACAAGAGCTAGTTTCAGGACTGGCTCCAAACATACAGAGAAACCACATCCTGAAAAAACAAAAAAAAATAAATATTATGTTTTTTTTATTATTAGTGATGTCTAAAATCATTTTGTCTATGAAGTAACATTTCATATTGGGAAGACAAACGAGAAAAATTGAAAGTAAAAAAAGGCTTGCGTTCCGCAAGCCTTGATACCAATATATTTTGTAAGAATTTACACCAAATGCTTGATGAAATTTTTGATTTGCGAAGTTTTTTCTCTAGACTTTGACAGTAATATCCTCTTCTGACCATGACTGTTTGATGATTCGTTTTAAAAAAATAAAATGAACTATAAATCTCTTAGATTCCATAGAATACATAGTTGCTTACATATATTTCTTTATTCCCTAGGAAACAACTGGTACCAAAATAGAAGCATAATAGCCTTGGGTAGGTATAATTATTAAAGAAAAAATGAATATTATTCCCTCAAACATGAAAAAAAACCTAAATTGCTGTAGCAATAACAACTGAGACCTAGAGGCACTTTTATATTTTAAGGCAACTCTTGTTAACCTAATAAAAATAAAGGGAACTTTATTGCCCAGAAAGAAATACCAAGGGATAAACTAGAATACATAGATTTGTGCTGTATGTTCTCCATAGTATGGTGCTTGAGGGCACCATATTTACACAATTCATATTTTTTCTCTCTGAACTTAATAGTATTCTATAAGTAATTGAATTTTTTTTATAAATGGTTATCATTTACGCTCAATGTCCATAGTTCTCAAGCTGTACAGTACATTCCTGATGAGTATGCTAGTGTATAGTCTGTTGAATGTCATGTTTCAGGAGAAGCATATAGTAATATTTTTGTTAGCTACTTAAATGTCACACATTACAAGTTACATGGAAAATGAAGTGATTACTACAAATAAGACTTTTTTTCTTGAGACTTGTTCTTTATTTACTCTGAAAAACAATCTTTTTTTGTTTATAAAAATTTCCACTTCCTCCCCTCCTCCCCACACCCTCCCATTCCCCCTACTCCCTCTCCTCCCCCCACTCCCTCTCCTCCTCCCTCTCCAGTCCAAAGAGCAGTCAGGGTTTCCTGCCCTGTGGAAAATTCAAGTTCCTCCTCCCTCCCTCCAGGCCTAGGAAGGTGAGCATCCAAACAGATTAGGATCCCAAACAGCCAGTACATGCAGGTTCAAGGGGGATTAATGTAGTCAACTGGCAGTTTTTCTCTTGAAATAAGAGGGTTAATATTTCAGAGAAATATTTCTTGAAGAAGAAAACTGCAGAAGTTGCTGTCACATCAAAAATCAACTTAGACACTATTAAAATTATATTTAACAGAGTTGCCATATCCAACCTTCTATTTTTCTGTTGTCTTTACACAGATGTGGATCTAAAGGAGGAAATGTGCTTTCATCTTGCCTTGATTATTTTATGTTGATTACAAATTATATAGATGGGAGGAATGTGAAGTAGAGTGTAATGAAAGCCAAGAAAAGAAGGCAATAGCAGTTCAATTCCACAGTTAACCAATTGTGGAATTAGAAAGAAATGTATAAATTAGGACTATCAATTTATTAAATGTGTGAACTTTGACAATTTATTTGAATTTTTGTGGTTCCTGACCCTAAAGGGATTCTTATTTTAATACAGTTATATTGCTAAATTATTATGAAAATTAGGCAAAAAGGTAAAGTCCTTGTCATGCTGTTTTAAATGTAATAAACTTTCAATTATGATAGTTGATCTATTATGTTAATGACTTTCTTTATAACAAGTACTCACAGAAATGTTAGCAGCTGTGAAGATATTCTTATCTTCATCATAATTACCAGATATAAATAATGATATATTATAAATATATATAATAAATAATGATTTAGAGTCATTCCTTAGCAAGTCCAAGACCATCAGAAATGACCACAGCGTGTTCAAAGCCCAATAAATATACAAAATTAGAGAAAAGGAAAGAAAATGAAATAATTATAAGTATTAATTCTCAATCTTAACACATTTTAACTAACTCATCCTTTGACCTAGGTCTTGAAAACAACCATGTGCATGATTAGTCAAAGGAAAACATTTGAGGAAATGTTGCATCCACTTTACTAAAAGGTGAAATTTCAGGTTGAACAAATTGGAGTTATTCAGCTGATATATTCGTTTTTAGAACAAGATCTTCCCTTACTATGTAGAAATATGATAGACTTAAGAGCACATCTTGTAGAAAAATTAAATATTATTTTAATGCGTCTGTGAAAGCATTTTGTCTATAGATGATACATTCTTGCTACTTATTAGAGCCAGCCTTTAATTGACATACAGTATGAATTGTAGACTTGGCCAAAACATTGCTAATTAAATTTGGTTTTGCTTCATTGCCTTAACCCCACACTTCTGATGAGTGAAAATCTTTCAAGAAACAAAACCCAAAAGCATATTTTCTAGACTTCCATTTTTAAGGTTGGGGAAGCAAGTTCCTTTAACAGATCTGTTACATAAGCCCATTCTTTTTAGGAAGAACCTTGGGTGAACCACAAGATTCTTTCCAGAACTAAGGCAGGCTCGGAGACGCCAAGTGTAAGGAAGAGAGATCTGTCGGGGATAGTTCTGTAGCGGAGGATTGACACGTATCATTGCCTTCTTCCCCGGTAATTCTAATGACCTTATACCCTGTCTTAGCTGCTATCATTCTTTTAACCCCCACTAATCTACTGTATTATGATTTTTCAGAATTGAGACCTTGGCAACGTTCTTTGACAAGGTGGTTACCTTGACCAGAGTATCTAAGCTGAGGTCTGCACAAAGATGTGGTCTAGCAAGATAAGACCACAAATCCCCATGAACGATAGACTTAATACTGTAAAAGTCTATGTCATGAAGGCAGATGAGCAATGGAAACAAATAGGCAGAGGACAAATTTCCACCAAATACATCGAACGGCTTCAGGGTTTGTGCCTGCTCATTCACTCAGAGTCAGATGGCTCTCTGCTATTAGAGTGCACAATACATCCAGATGTGCCCTATAAGAAACAACACAGACATTTAATTAGTTGGCCTCAAGCTAATAACAGTACTATGACAATATATTTCCCAGACCCAGAGTGTTGTCAAAATATCTGGGAAGATATCTGCCAAGTTCAAGATAAAGATCCTAGTGTACAAACATCACAAGAAATTGCAGTTAACTTAGCCAGTTTTCATGAATTGCCTCAATTCCAGTATCTGTTTGAGGAACCTACCTCTGAATGCAGTATGCTTGAAAACATTGCAGATTTGCTTATTATTGTGAAAGATTTGCCAAGCCACAAGAAATGTCTGGCACTGCTTTTAGGTAAATTAGATTACATTAAAAAATTGCTACAGGTGTTCCACACATGCGAAGATCAACAGAACATGGAAAGCTTACATTTTTTATATATCATTATTAAAGGACTTTTCTTTCTCAATGATGCACAATTATTTAATACCATGTTTTCTGATGAATGTATCATGGATGTAGTAGGATGCCTTGAGTATGACCCTGGTTTGGATCAGCCATGTCGGCACAGGAAATTCTTGGCTGAAAATGCAAAATTTAAGGAAGTTATGCCAATAACACACTCCAAACTTAGGCAAAAAATACACCAGACCTACAAAATGCAATATATCCGTGACATTCTATTACCTATACCATCCAAATTTCAAGAGAATCGTCTTTCTGAACTTACAAATTTCATTTTTTCCAACAAAATAGAAATAGTTACCATGCTGCAGGAAGATGAAATGTTTTTGCTGGAAATTTTTGCCCAGTTAGAAAATAACACTGTAGGTGATAAAAGACGTTGCGAATTGTTATTTTTCCTTAAGGAATTCTGTGAATTTGCCATGACCTTAAAAGTTCTAGAGAAAGATGCATTATTGAAAACAGTGATAAAGCTTGGAATCATGAGGGCTCTGAAAGTTTCAGTATGTATGCAAGACCTTCAAATAAAAGTAGCTGCTATACATATATTTACTTACATAGTAGAATATAATCCACAAATAGTCCGCGTGTATGCAGTGGATGAAACTCAAGATAGTGAAAATAAGGATGACCTTCTCATCAATATAATGATCAAACAAATCATCTGTGATCCTGATCCCGAATCTTCTCGTGTTTTAAGTTTGACAGCAGTTCTCCATGTTCTTCTTGATCCAGAAAACATGTGTATAACAGCTAATGCATCTGAAAGAAGTGAATTTATGAATTTTTTCTATACACATTGCATGGATAACTTAGCAGAACCAATTTTGTCTATCACAGGACAAAATGATGGTGATGATAACACAGTAAACATCTGTTCTTATAATGACCAAAATGCACAAATGCTTGAAGTAGTTTTAGAAATGCTCAGCTTTTGTGTAAAGCACCACACAACTTATATTAAAAAATATATTTTGAGAAACAACTTGCTCAGTAAAGTCCTGGTGTTGATGCATTCAAAGCACACTCTTCTGGTTTTGTCTGCTCTCAGGCTGATGAGACAGATGATTGGCCTTAAAGATGAAATTTATAATCTTTACATAGTGAGGAAAAATCTTTTTAAACCTGTTATAAGTTCTTTAATTTGTAATGGAAGACGATATAATATGTTAAACTCAGCTATTATTGAACTATTTGAATTTATAAGAGCGGAAAACATCAAGTGTCTTATTACAAACATTGTTGAAAAATTTTATATGGCTTTTGATTCAATTGAGTATGTCCAGACATTTAAAGGATTGAAAATTAAATATGAAGAAGAGAAGGAAAGAGAAAATAAAGTAAGAAGAAATTTACATGATATAATATTCGAGAAATTATACTTCAAGCGTATGAAAGCTATGGAGGTAAATGTCAAGGAGGAAATGTGTCCTAGAGTAAATACTGGAGATGTTCTGCCATCGGGAGGGGACTTGCTAAATTCTTATGACACATTTATGAAAATAAAAGAGACATGTGAAAATGAAGTAAAACAGTCAGAAGAAAAATCATTTCAATTTGGCTGTTTATCTCATTCTGAGGCTTCTGCTAGAGGAATGAGTAGGCCACCACTCTATAGCAGGAAGATTCCTTTAGTGGACTACTCAGATGATGATGATGATGATGACGATGATGAAAATGACAGTAATGTTCATCATGACAATGATGAAGAGGAAGAAGAACCTCCCCCAAAAAGGCCTAAACTTAGTTCATAAAATAAGATGAGGCCTTCAACTTTTGATTCAAATAAATTTTGATAAATATCACAAACAGAAAAAAATATAATTTTAAAAAATCTTTATTTTATGGACTTTTGAATATGATAAAATGTGTAGCTAATAGGATGAATAATAGGCCTCAATTTTATATGAAGAAAATTTACCATAACATAGTATAATATGTCACCCCTGAGTGATAACTTCTTTTCAAGAACATTTTATTTTGGCAGCATGGTTTGGGAGGGGATACAGTTTGAAAAACTCATATAATTTTCACTCAGGTGTTTATGTTATGAACAACTACAAAAGTTTTATTGGAAAGCTTATTTTAAAAAAGGTTTAGTAATGGCATTCTATCTATAAATTGAAGTTTTATGAAAGAACCATTTTTATGTATGGAAGAAGTAGTCAATATTAAAAACAAAGTGAGACTTTACATTTCTGTGAAGCTTTGACTGAATTTCAACTTTATGAATAATAGGAAAGAAACAACATTCAGCACAATTAAGTGCGTATGTTCATGAATAAAATGTTAAGTTGGATCCTAAATGAACTGTTGTGAATATACTTCTTTTTAGATAAGAAATATCAAGTATCAATATCAACACAGTTCTATTCCTAATGTGCATTCTACAGGTCCTCCAGGGATTACAACAGGATGCATCTAATATCCAGATTGTTAAAGTTATTTATTCACTCATTAAGCTTTGTCCTTTCCCCCAGAGTGGTAGGTACATATTAGGATATAAATATTTCTCTCTAGTTGCTGAAACAAAGTAACTAATAAAAACAACTTAACAGGGGAAATTTTCATTTTGTCTTTAGTGTGAGGGAATACATTCCATTCTAGTGGGAAAGTAGACAGTTCAATGGTGGGAGGATTTAAAAACAGCATATCACCTTGTACCCACAATGTACAAGCAACTAGATGCATCCTGATACTTACCTCAATTTCTCTTTTAATTTAGTGTAGGACATCAGCCCATTGTACAGTATCACACACATTCAAATTGTCTTTTAATCTCATTTTTTCCAGTCTTTAACTGCCCCATAAATATGTTAAAAATTTCGTGTCCTCAGTATAGATTTTGTTATTAACTATCACTAATAGACCTTTTGGCTACTTAACATACAATTATGTATCTTTTAAGTCCTAACATTTCACATCTCATCCCAAAAGTCTCATGGCCATTTCATATTGCAAAATGTATTCAGTCCAACACACATGCATGCCTGGGGAAGCCTGCCCCAGTACAGAGGAGAAAACATGACCCCTGACCATCCCCCTTAAGACTGAGCAGAAAACGACAACCCAGTGCAGCCTTCTCTGGACACCAAGGAGAAAACATGAGTCAGACATTTGGGCATCACTATGGCAAGCAAATATATTGTGTGGAGAGAGAGAGAGAGAGAGAGAGAGAGAGAGAGAGAGAGAGAGAGAGAGA